TTCCAGATAATTAAAATCGCTTAAATTCTTAACTGTTTTTCTGTACAATTCAATCGTATCTAGACTACATAATTGTAATAAGTTGCTAATATATGTTATTCAACCAGTTTAATCAAGATGAGAATTGTAATTTCCTTCAGTATTGTTATATAAACTTATTTTAACACCATATAGTTTAGGTTTATTGTCAACAAAAGTTATCTGACAAAAAACCAGTGAATAAAATTTTATTGTAGTCTATTTGATTTCTCTAAATCAATGACTAAATTCATTTGACACATTCATCAAATCAAAACCGTAATTTTGCTTTGTTTCAACGTTTATGTTCACTAAAACTATGTTTTTTATTAACTTTAAAATTATTAATATTGATGTAAGATTTTTTTCTTTATAGACAAATCTACACTCTGACTATCCTGATAGTATTCGTTTGGGAACTGAAGAACAAGAAAATCAAGACAGATGCAGATGTTAAAGTCATTCTTTTATTGTTTCTTTTTCTTATAAACATCATCAACATTATGGTTCCTCATCAATAGCAAAAATCTGATACTACTACCACTACTCTGTGAGATAATTACATTGTTTCTTCTAATTCACATTTTATTGCTCGATAAATTGAACTTAATGGTTATTTATTATCCAAACATTCATTTTTATACATAAGTTTATTGTTGAAAAAAAATATATAGTGAATAGTTAATTCTAATGGCTGGTTTTTAACTATACATATTATTGTAATTTCCTTCATTCATTTATGTGCTTTGATTGTTCCAACATATTATATGTTCAAAAGATTTGTGACAATGGTTTTGTTTACCAAACTTCTTTTACTTTTCTATTTCATATAAAATAGTTTCTATAGAATCCTAATTCTATGATGCTTTTTTTTGGTTCTGCTTTCATTTATTTCATAATTATATCATGATTTATACGAAACAAGGATAAGTATTTATTTCCTAATGAATCTACATACCAAATAAATTAAACTTACTGATTTGGCTTGTTATTGATCATCTTTTACTGGTTGAGAAAAAATACGCTTTAAATACTATTGTCATTTTCGAGTGTTATTACGTACGTTTTTTTGTTGATTTCATATAGTTAATGTGTATATAAACATCTAATTATAACCTACACTTCATGTAATTATTACATGATTTATAAATCACACTTTTTCTTCTGATTTATCACTACAATTATTATGTTGCTATTGATATTTCAGACCAATGTTTAATTGATTTCTTGAATTTTTTAACCTTTATATCCGTACTCTAACTTCTGCTAATTTGCCTCATAATTTAAGAATAATGAAAGATTACGGATAAACTAACAGAGAATTTAGGTATCATTACCAAGGTTTGGCTTGATATTTCAAATAAATTGAGCATTGGGTAGATTGTTATATATATATTTACGTGTCGACAACTTCAAATCGTTTGCAATGGCGAAGGTGCATCCATTCTTTGTGTTCTACCAACTTCTGAATTCCTCATATCTCTATCTTTTTCCAAATTTATTTCACTGTATTATACTCCTTCAATAACATCTTCAAACCCTAATCTTTCACATCATGCTTATACTCTTACTACTTCTACCACTATGGGATTTGAATGGACAACTTCATCTCTGTGCTAATGTGGTATGGCAACTCGAACTGATGTACGTATGTACGAAGTTCTACGTTGTGACTGACTGACGACAACTTCACTTATCTTGGAAGTCTGATCAGCCCTAATGACTTGGTGTCTGACGAAATCTCTGCACAGACTCAGAAAGCTCGTCTAGTTTTCGCCAACTTACTTCACCTATGAAAAAGGCGAGATATCCGTCTATCAATTAAAGGACAAGTATACTGTGCAGCAATTCGTTCTGTTCTGCTTTACGGCTGCGAAACGTGACCATCAAGAGTAGAAGATACTCGTAAGTTACTAGTATTTGACCACAGATGTCTTAGAAATATTGCTCGCATCTGTCGGGATCACTGGGTAAGTAAATAATAGTGAGGTTAGATGCAGTGTATTAAGAGAATGATGGTAAAACAGTTAATGAGGTCATGAATCTTCATCGACTGAGATGGTTGGGCCATGTGTTACGTATACCTGAACACCGATTACCACGGCGCGCAATGCTGACTAGTATTGGAGATGGTTGGATGAGAGTTAGGGGCGGCCAAACCAAAACGCGGCATCAGTCATTGAGGTCACTAACTTCTAGTCTGAGCCATGTTGGTAGATGAAAACTACTTAGTTGGGGTACGTGTGACATGGCTCAGGATTGATCACAATGGCGTAGGTGTATGCACTCTTTGTCTTCCCTTAAACTATGAGATTAGAATTGTTTCCTATCTGTCTTTCTTCCTGTGCTATATCCTTATATAAAATCTTTCCATTATATATTACCACCACTAAATTAGCTACTTCTATGAATTTGGTGTTCATCTCGTTGTGCTAATGAGGTATGGCAACTTGGACCGATGCATATATGTGCCTGGTCCTACGTTGCAACTGACTGACTGACTCCAAGTAAAGATCTCAGCATTTTGTGCAAACTTCGACACTGTTCAATTAACGAAACTATTATTTGAGAAATGATGAACTGTAGAATAATATTTTTGATTTGTTCGGATGTGTATAATCATGTCTATTGCAGCATGCAATATACGAATAGATTTATTACGAACAGTGAGTAGCAAACAAGTTTGTTTACTTTTATTACATATGTATTCTCATCAGTCAACAATTGGTGATTACCTCTATGCGAATAAAATGTACAATGCAAAGAAATTAGTATCCATATAAATCTTAGTTACTGCTGTTTTCATAAAATTTCATCCTGTAGAACTTCAGAGTTACCTATCAATATAAAGGTTGTATTTTAAATTAGAGTGATAGTTCAGTACAAGAATAAATTAGGTAGCTACAACCAAGCTGACTAAATCACCTTTCATGTTTCCTATATGTTTCAAGTATAATGTAATTGAAACGTTAACGTCCCAACCATAAAATGACCAAGTGAAGCACTGTTCAGACCTTCAGGACTATGTTTTATCTGTCGAGTATAACTATTGTTGTGAACTAGGATGTGCTGTGTAGGTAAAGTATTACTAGTACATTTTGTCGTTATTGTTTCTCCTGTTCAGTACCAGGCGAATGTTGTACTCAGTGCTCGTCTATATACCATGCATCTTTACACGGTTCTCATGATTATGTGGATGTGGTTTCAAATAGCAATGTATAATCTGCCGACGTATCTGTCATAGTTTTCACGATATACATCTCTAAATGAAATGTATTCTATATTGATTATTGATAGCGATCATATACATAAAAATACATACATGACCTAGTGGCACCTCCTAACTACAGTTTATTAACTTGAAGGTATTTAGTATACTTTTTCACAAGTTGTTTAAACAAGTTAACCGAATTCTCTAGGCAATGATTTTGCTACTAATATATTTTATAGGTTTTTGGTAACTTCATGGTACTGGATATTTGTCTTTAATTTAGACCTTAGGTTTCAGATATTTTAATTAAACTACTTAGTAAATAATTCGTCACCAAAAATAGCGAACAACTCTTATACAAAATATATAAGAACTTTCGTCTAAATTAGAGCGAATAGTTTCACCGTATTTGGGCGCCGAGTTGATGTATTTCCTTGGAAAAGCTTGGATCAGATTGCCAGATCAGACGTTGGATTTACTTCAAATTCATTCGCTGAGATTTTACTAGTATATTATTCCTATTTGATGTCCTATACAAAATGTGACAGATATCCTATGTCAAAGATGAATCGAGTTCACCTAATACTCCTTGTTTGCAAAGTCAATCCGGGCTTTTGTTAGGTTTGAGGTCCGGTGGTTTCATGCAAACGTCATGATTAGCTGCCTTAATATCAAAAGAAAATGAAGGAGTCAGAAAGTGGAAGTATGATCCAAGAACTTTGAAATCTCCAAAATAGTTATGATACACCTTAAACAAGGAAACAGTTTACTAAAATAAGTATAATTCATCTAATATGAATAAACTTGAACTAATATCTAACACATTTAGTAAAACATTTACTAGAATTTTGATATAAATAGGTGTTACTTAAGAATTCCAAATCCCTTTAGTCCTTTTCGCCTTTACTCTTAGCTTTTATTGATTTCATTGATTATATAAAATCCTATAACTGGCTACAGTTTTCCCAGGTCTGACCTAAACAGTTCTTAATTTTTTTTCACCTGGGCGAGTTTATAGCTAATTTGTCTGGTTATGGGAGATCCTAGAATCTTATGCGAATTTAGATTTTTCGTATTTTATACTTTGACAATATCTATGTAATGTAATAACAATTGTATTAGTCAATGTACTCAAGGCAAATTGCATTGTGTGTGTATTCTAGGCATTAATCTAACTTTCCATCAATAGCTTAAAACATACCCTCTTTTCAAAATTTACCATGTTTGACAAAAAAATTGAAAATTAGTTAATTTATTTACCCTGCTAGATAAAGAAGCGCGAGATCAGATCCATCGAATTTAACTAGTACTAGGACTTCCAACCACCACATTCGATTTGTAATCACTAACATCGATTCTTTTTCATTTGTTTTGTTTTCATAATAGTACTGACGATAATAATAGCGTGACATTAATAGACTTGAAAAAATATATCAAAATAACATGTTCGTATGTGAAAACTCATTAACATGCAGAATCATATGATTGAGATAGACAGTGATAAACTTATTACTACCCTAGTAATCCATTTTTTTGTCTTTGTTTTTTTGTTTTGTTTCAGTTTTGTTGTTATTAGTTCAATTTTGGTTAATATTTAGTTCTTATTATATTCCCCTCCGCTTACCCAATTCTTAAACCACCCTTTCTCTCACACATTTCCGCTCATTCGTTTCTCCTAATTATATGAACTATCCAAATTTTATTCAATTATTACGTAACCTACCCTAATTGTTTTCAACTACCTCTAAAATAATCACATTTTTGATTTTATCTGTCTCTGAACTCCACTCAACTACTGATGGATTTGAATGAATCCTTTTGTTACAAACTAATTTAGATTAATATTTTCAGTATGGGGCTGTGGAGATTTGAATTTCATTGAAATTATGAACTGATCTGAGCCGGCAATTATTAGTAGTATTGTGTTGGTATTTTTATCACTGATTTACGAACTGTTCGAGTTTAATAAGATAACTGAACATATCAGGAGAACTTGATTACTTCTGATGACCAGACAATGAAACCAACTTTTTACTAAATTACAATTCAAACATATACTCAGCTTAAAAAATTGCGAAGTGTATTTACTTTTACGATTGTTTGGTTACTCTTAAGGTATAGGAAATAGAATTATATTTTTCGTAATATTTAAATTCTAAATGAAATCTTTTTTTCGCAGCCTAAAATATCTTTGGAGATGCTTTAACCATCCTATGGATAAGCGTTCGGTTTAATAAAAAAACAGTCTTTACATTAGAATGTACCTTTTGTATAACATAAATCGGTATTAGTGTATATTTTAAGATAAACGTTCTTATGCGTGAAGTCGACATTAGCTATCACGTTTCTAGTGTTTGTTTTTTTATTTAAGTAGGTAGTGGCTTAATAGTTGGAGAGAACTTTTGAGCTTATAAAATTTCTATCATTTGAATATTTTCACCAGAATGGACTTTATCAAAATTGAATCACGTGTATTTATTCTCATTTAAATTTCTTTAGTTTCTTTGTTGTTTTTTTATACTGCAGAATCATGAATAAATCATTAGGGGAAGGTAGCGATATAGACGATTCGTCTCATCTGAGAAAGCCAACTACGATAGATGAGAGTTGCTCTAGTTGTCGTGCAGTCAGCTCAATTGTCCCTTTAACTCTATCTGCTTATATAATGTATGTGTGTAAAGGTCAAGCCTCCAAGTATTCTGGTGTAAAAAAAGTGTCATATTTGACTCTATGCACTAGTATGTCATTGGGTAAGTTCTTAAACTATTTAACCTTTCAATTTTCTACCTATTCGAACACATTCCCAATAGATACTTTAGCAGAATAAAACAATTCGTTTCACATCACTAGCATACCTAAATTTATGATAAATTTCAAATATTACACAAAATAAATGTGATAGATTTTAATTTAAAATAGTAACTTTATCGTTTTTCGTTAATTACTTGAAAAATTTCCCATATACATAAAATACTATTACAGTGGTTACATACAAGCACATAAAATACTGAAATCATCTTACTTAGAAACTGGCACATTAGTTTGATAATTCAGCTCATCGTACATTTATTATAGAAAGCAAAACATTGAATCAACCAAGGAAATTAAAATTCATTTAGCTTATAAAAAGCAGTTAGGAGTTCTATACTTGAACACCTAATCGACTGTATTCATTCTACGGATCTACAGTCTGATTTTAAGGTTGTTTATATGATTCATTCTGTTATGTTTTTGACCTAGGCGGTAGCCAATTGTTATGACTCGATCAAGGTCGTCGCTGATTCGTTATGACCTTACGAACTTAACAAGGACGTAATCCGCGTAAATTGTCCACCAATAGAATACGCCTTCTACGACCTTCACACTGTGACAATGACGTTCGATTAATATGAGTAATCTAGCGTCCTTATTGGCCCTTATCCGCCTAACCCGTCCACTTGAGTCCAAAACACCAATAGCAGCTTCGGCAATACGAATCGTTTATTTCAAACATACTTTATCTATATACCAGACAGGCAGACCACACCGCACCATAAAATAGAAAATAATATTTGTACAAAACCAGGCCAAATGAGGCTGTAAGCGTGGGAGACAATAATCAATAAAACTGAGCATAACATAGGGACAGTAAATCACATAGTAATAATCAATAGGTCAAAATAAAGCTTAGATAATCTAGTTACCGAATAGTTATACAATAAGAATGATAGTCCAATAGTAGGTCCTGCAAGTTACCCGTTGCCACTACATAACACATTCAAATCTACCGAGATTTCTTCGTATCAAACTCCTTAAAATAGCCGAAGCTCTTACCATCCATGAGCTCAAACCAGAACTGTGTACAAAAGAAGTACGTCTTATCATTATCGTTACCATGGCCTTAATATTATTATTATCATTCTATTATTATTATTTCTCCATTTTCCCTTTACTTATATCTTATATTCTCATTATTTTATTCATGAATACTCACCTTATTTATTTTTACACCTCTATGACCTTTAATTATTGTAACCAAACATTTTATTCATTTTAGTCATCTGATAATATTCACTAAATCTATTGTTATTACTCGTATTACGTAATCTAGTATTATAATCTTGGTTATTAGTGTTTACATTTCCTCACGGAATTAGTACTTTAACAAAACATTTTCATACATATACGACTGTATAGCTTAGAAAAGTTAGAAATGGATCTTGTTAACCATTTCCAAAATATTATGATTTTTTTTAAGGGAGCGATTTTAATGTTCTCAATAATCCATTTCGATGCGTATCATCTTTAACCATTCAATAATACAGTCTCATAAATTCTATGGATCTTCTCATGTTTGCAAGGCTTTGTTATGTTGGTAATAAGTATTTATAGAATTTATGGTTTCCAATTATTAAAATAGTAATATTTAAATATGATGTGCTTGAGCTAAGTCGATTTTCTCGGTAATGAACGAAGGCCAATGATACAGTGACACGATAGGCTAATCTAATCTATTGTCCCAGGTCCTGCTAACTAGAGGAAGAAGTTCAAGACGAAGTAGGGGAATGTATATTCCGTAAGCAGCCGAGTACTAGCAAATCATAAGGGGAAAAACTCAAATGTATATATACAGCGATAAATTGTCCTTGGGCAGCATTACAAAATAGCACACTCAAAGATACAACGGACCAATAGCATTTAAGATATTTTACAAGTGGGAAATACTGCTTGAAAGTGAAAAGAGCGCCTGTAGCGCGAAAACAAGGAGATTCAAATTTTCAAAATAAAATTACAAAATTAAGCCATTTACCAAGTAAGTTCTAGGGATTGGACATCCCCAACAAAATAATAATAGCAAAATAAGTTTTGTTGTTAGGCTATAACTATGAAAATATCAGTAATCAAAATAAAGTAATTGCAACATTTCACCCGTCAGCTTATTTCTAGCATAATACTTCGACAAAATCAATAAAATTATCTAATATAAGTAAGGTCAAAACAAATTTTAATAAACAATTATTCATTCAATATTCACATTTTGAATTGAATAGTTTATAATGTGAATGTGAGTCATTAAATGTGAAATTTGTTCTAATTTCAGCATGTAACTGTGTGTTTAAGCACATACTATTCTTATCTAAATCTATTAGTTATTTGTAGCCCTCAATTGTGATCAGAGTCATATTAGTTATCGCCCCCAAATGCCCTGGTACGGCCGAGAGTGGGGAAAGTCTGCTCTCCCTCTCCAAACGCTCTCACATGGCCACACGTATATAGCCTCTGTCAGGGAAGTCCTACCCACTGCCTTCTCGTGCCACAGGTGTTGTTTGCAAAATTGAGAAGACGAAAGGCGAATATTTGGCGCTTTAACCGGGTTGGTGGACACGGTGCGTCCACCTAATGCAGTTGGAAAACCCTGATTTCAAACCGATGGTGCACATGGGTTCCAGTGTCCTGAGGGAACGAATGACGTATGAATCAATCGTTGGTCACCGACTACCATGGGACTGCATCTCCTCACAATGCTCCACTGCCTTGTGGATCAGACGTTTAGGTCAGAGGCTTCGGGTGTGGTCCCCTAAGAAAACCACCTATTTCGGTCTGGGCACCTGGTCAGTATCACAGCCCTCACAGAAATCAAATGAGAATTGTGAAGCGCATATTTATCTGGTGCTTCCTTATACCAATATTCATGTGTTTAAATAAATAAATATTAGTTGTCATCATCGTCCATAGAACTAAAATTAGATAATATAGAATGGGTAGCATGTGACTAGTAGTAGAGTTCATGACGTACGTTTCATCCTCTTCATGACTTGTCAACTGGATATACCTGCACTCCGAAGTTGATGTTCACTAAGAGACTTAAACTCACCACTGTTTGCTTCAAACATCATCTCGTTATCCGTTCAGATAGCCACTCACTTGTGTAACGGGTATGAGTTTTAATTCCATTTGGAATAATTTGGATTATTCCTTTGTTAATATTTGGACTGAAATTCGATCATTCCTGATTTTGGTATGCATGGATCCTGTACTAAGTCTTGTGCATCAAGTTTTGAGGTGAATATCAATTTTGAGATGCAGGCACATCCAGGTGACGAGACTCAAATAGGGAGAAACACGTGTTCTGAATTTCACTTTTACCTACATTCCATCTATTTCATATTGAGTGGTGTCATAACGGCTATGTCGTGGCAATACTCACAAGATGCACTTATTCCAAACCAAGATTGATTATATTTCAGTCAAAATATCAGCAAAGGGATAATTCGAACTATTTCAAATTGAAGTTAAAACTAGATAGTTGTAAATTTTTCTCAGAATGTATTGACTGGAGGATAAATAATTGTATTGGTGATATTCATGTTAATCAAAAGAAGTCAAAAACATCTAGTCATGATAATTAACTAAACAGTTGACTGTATGTTGTTGGTGTTCACATTGCTTGAGGTGTAGATTGATGCAGCAACTGAAGACACTATTTTGCCTCTCTTTTTTATTGGCTGGTCAGTAATTATCATGTTTCAATTAGTTGCGCTTCATCTCTTCTATTTATAATGTTTGAGTTCGTTCATATGGTAGGACCTTGACTATGAGCCTTTCTTATTAGGACTTAAAAACTTTTCCCAAAGTATTTTCGTTTCACCGGAACCATTTTCTGTCCAAGTTTTGTTAAATTTATTCTTATCCCCGGTTTATTCTTAAGTTTGATAAGGTTTTATGAGCATATATTAATGTTTCGAACATTGTTTTCTTTCGTCATTACATCCAGTTGTCTGAATGTTCCTTCTACATGTAAAGCATTATTTCTTATGCATAATGTCTTTCTCTTCCCATGATACTATATCCTTTACTCTTTTAGTGGCTTAGCTTCGTTAGTCAATCACTTTGATTGCCGTTAGCATATAAATCCCCAACGGTGTTTAAAATCAGAAGACAATAAGAAGCGGCTACTACAGTTTATTAGCGGATAGCACAAAGAGCAAAGCTACGAGCACATCGAGCGAATTTGGAGCAGAGAGGTTAATATATGTTTGCGAGAGAACACAGAGGCAATTTTATGGTCAAATCAAATGAAGGCGCAGCTAGGAAAGGGATGATAGTAGGATTCGAGCACATATATACATGGGGGAGAGATTGATTCACCGAGCTATTGACATTTAAGCTAGAGAGTGATTTATGCAAAGGCTATCATGTGATCAAGAGTACACGTTTATACAGACATGGTAGTGATCATAATAAAACAAGGAAATAGACTAATTGTTACTGTTCGAATAACATTGTCTGTTAAATAAGTTGATAAAAGAGCTCAACAAAATTACCCACAAACAAAATTGACTGTAGGAGAGTTGCTATACTCTCACTTATGTAGAATTAACAATAACGTTAGTTCTAAAGTATACTTTTATATCATATCCTTTAAGTATTTGTTTGCTCTGAGTGTGCGAGTGTGGCTCAACCCGTTTGTCACTTTTCATTACGTTAAAATAAACAGTCCTGTTGATCAGATTTCTCGCTACTGTTATATTTACCTATAAAGTCTGTACTGACTTGTAATTTAGATATTTTTGCTGCATGTGTTACTTTCTGGATTGAAAAGATTTATCCAGTCCTTCTTGTTTAGCTGTAACAAAAGTATTATCCTCCTACTGTAAGTTTTGATGGGAACGTGAGTTTTATGATCGGATTTGTTTTCCATCTAACGAACAATACAAATTTCAATCAGTATTCGATCGTAAACATTCGTATATAATATTTAGGGATCTTTCATTGAATCAAAGATCAAACCAAGCTACCGAGTCGGACATTGAAACCACCAATATTTTACACTATTATATTTAATATATATATTATAATAATATTTTCACTAATATTTTTACAAATATTATTTCACATGTAATACCTTTTATATATTCAACTCTAAAAGTTTGTGAAAACCCCCTTTCAAATTTTGACAAAAGTTTACAGAGACTAGTCAAACCTACCTTTCGTATCACTAATTGGTTGTTTCTATTATATATAAATATGTCTTAATAATATGGTTTGTAATCTATAGAAAAGTCAATCGTATAAACTAATTTGAATAATAATAATAATAAGTTGGATCACTTTTTGTGTAGACTGAGTATTTAAACTATTACCATGTAAACAGAATTTTAATTATTATTGGTACATGATTGCATTTGAAATGAAATCATGTGTTAAATACAAAAGACTAACATAGTCAGTTGTAAATAAAGGTTAATTTATATTAGTAGCGTGATATATTGCTGATAAACCATCAGATGAACTGAATAGAAATTTTGGCATACGTCTAGTACTGTGTCCCTAATGAACTTTTATCGTTGCCAAAATAATGTCATGATGACCTAACAATGCAACTCTTGACTATACAATTCTAAAATGAAACATAACCTGTCTATCGTTTGTTAGTATATAACAAGTAATAAGTTTATTTGTATATCATTTAATGTTATTATTAGGGTTCATTTATCGTTTTGTATCAACTAAATTACTTGATAGAGACATATATATTAATCTGAATGATGTGCACTAAATTTGCTAATTCATTTCTTGTACCAAACATTCTGATCTTTTTCAAATTGTTAATTTTTCCAATTCAGAAATTCCTATAGAATATTTTAAGAATAAAGAGTATTAAAATACACTTATTGATAACATCTTAGAATAATTCAGCTTTAATGCTTTATCTATTATAATACTACAATAATCATTTTAAGCAAAAATGGATAGTGGCTAGCAGTGGAGTCTAGTACGCGCGTTTCGTCCTATTTGGGACTCGTCAGCTGGATAACGCGATGGCGTTTGAAACGAAAGGTACTGGGTACGAGTCTCAGAGTGAACATCAACTCTGAGATGCAGGTACATCCAGTTGACGGGTCCCAAATAGTGCGAAACGTGCGTCGTGGATTCCATTGCTGGCCACTATCTATCTTTGCTTATATTTAACAGCTGTATACTTCTTGATCATATAAATTAAATGAATAGAATATTGAATTACAAAATAAATTGTTGAATTTAGACATTAACACCGTTGGATGCCGGCTCAGTGGTCTTCCAGTGCTTCCAGGTTTTCCATGGTGGTCTAGCTTCAATTGACTCATGATTTCAACTATGAAAATAAATTGTGTCATGTTCTAAAAAAATATCTTATATAACAAGAAATGTATTCATACTTTTGAATCTAATTAATTACTTTAACTATACATTTAATATCTATTTGTTATGTCCTTTGTCGACTGATAATTCACGTTCACATTGATGATTGAAATGTTACATATGCTTTGTATGTTTTGTTAGTAATTTTCATGTTTATCAGTTTAATTATTTCATTCTATGATTAGAATCTATCAAATAAATCGATAAATTTAAGATTAGTTGTAATATGGAAAATAAAATATACAGGACCAACAGTTGTTATTCTTACTTACTTACTTAGGCCTGTTACTCCCAATGGAGCATAGGCCGCCGACCAGCACTCTCCAACCCACTCTGTCCTAGGCCTTCCTTTCTAGTTCTATGTAGTTTTTGTTCATTCTTGTCATATCTGTCTCCGTTTCTCGGCGTAATGTGTTTTTTGGTCTTCCTCTTTTCCTTTGGCCTTCAGAATTTCATGTAAAAACAGTTGTTATTCTATCATAACCCCCAAATGCCCTGGTACGGCCGAGAGTGGGGAGAGTCACCTCTCCCTCTCGAAATGCTCTCATATGGCCAGCGAATATATAGCCTCTGCCAGGGAAGTCCTACTCACTGCCTTCTCGTGGCGGGGGTGTTGTTTACGAAAGTGAGAGGACGAAAAGCGAATGTCCGGCGCTATAACCGGATTGGTGGACATGGAGGGTCCACCTAGGGGAGTTGGAAAACCCTGATTCCAAACCAATGGTGCACATGGGCTCCAGTATCCTGAGGGAACAAATGGCGTACGAATCAACCATTGATCACCGGCTACCATGGGACTGCATGTCCTCACGATGCTCCACTGCCTTGTGGATCAGACATTAAGGTTAAAGGCTCGGGGTGTGGCCCCCTAAAAATACCACCTGCTTCAGTCTGGGCACCTGGTCAGTGTCACAGCCCTCACACAAATCGAATGAGATTTGTGAGGCGCATATTTATCTGGTGCTTTCTTGTATCAATATTTATGTGTGTAAATAAATAAAAAATAAATCATAACTAAATCAGGTTCTAAATATCTTACAACTTTGTAACTCAGTAATGTCATTATACATGGCTCGTAATAGAAGCCAATAGCGATCCTGTTGTATTTTTCTGATGCAATTTTGAGAAAAGTCAAATGAACCTGTAGAACTGAATAAGATTTCTTTTGGTGTTATATTTCTAACTTTTATCTTGTAATAGATATTATTCTTGTCCATTTGTTTGTTGATTGTCTGAATTTTCCTTCACGATATTATTCATTCTACTTTTGTGTAGCACATTCATATTGTCATCTTATAGTAACAGAAGATTTCTTATGTTATGAATAAATGAATAGTAAAATATTGAAGACTTATGCTAGTGAATGTAAGATAACAGTTAAGAAAAAGAATGGGTTAATATTTATAGTGTGTTATTTTAAAACAAACATATAAGATGTCTCCCTTCTGAACCACTGTCTTGTACTTGTTAATACTAATCGACAAAACACTTCTGTTTGCTGGAGGCAGTTCACATCACATCAAAGATTCAAATTCACTCCACACAGAATTATGTACTACATTCAGTAAATATTATAGTTCATCGTTTATTCAGAAAGTGATTTATCGAACTGTTGTATATTCATTTACCTTATTGTACTTCAATTGAAAAAAATGATAATATGATTTTTTTCTATTCACAGGTTTACTGTACATTGGAGGGAGTCAGTTGTTCTCTCGATGAAATGCAAAACTACTAATGAAAGCCTTCTAGAGTTTTCTATGAATGAATGTATATAACATTTTGTCTTTTGTAATGTTATTTTACCTCAGAAAAGTATTGTTTTCCAACATTAATTTTCAAAATTATCTACGTTACCTAACTTTTTTGAATAAGTGTATTTATTATTATCATGTGAGACTTTTAATCAATATAATTGTCATATATGTATGTGAATATTTGTCAATATTTGAACGATTAGTGTTGTGGTCTATGTCTAGACAGAATGCACTTTATGTACTAGTGGAGTATGCAGAGTAATGTAACTGAGGAGAGTTGAAACGGGGAAAAATAGAAGAAAGTGTGTGCTGACGACCCACCGAGCGTACAAAATGTATTTACGTTTAATAAAGAAAACCATAGGCAACAATCATTAATAACATAAGACTCAGATTAAGACAATCTGGAAATCGAATTTTTATTCATTTATTTAAACACATGAATATTGGTACAAGAAAGCACCAGATAAATATGCGCTTCACAATTCTCATTTGATTTCTGTGAGGACTGTGATACTGACCAGGTGCCCAGACCGAAATAGGTGGTTTTCTTAGGGGACCACACCCGAAGCCTCTGACCTAAACGTCTGATCCACAAGGCAGTGGAGCATTGTGAGGAGATGCAGTCCCATGGTAGTCGGTGACCAACGATTGATTCATACGTCATTCGTTCCCTCAGGACACTGGAACCCATGTGCACCATCGGTTTGAAATCAGGGTTTTCCAACTGCATTAGGTGGACGCACCGTGTCCACCAACCCGGTTAAAGCGCCAAATATTCGCCTTTCGTCTTCTCAATTTCGCAAACAACACCTGTGGCACGAGAAGGCAGTGGGTAGGACTTCCCTGACAGAGGCTATATACGCGTGGCCATGTGAGAGCGTTTGGAGAGGGAGAGAGGACTCTCTCCACTCTCGGTTGTACCAAGGCATTTTTAGGCAGAGAGTTTATACGAATATTGGACAATATTTTGGCGAATAGTTTAACATCGTCTGAGTACTAAATATAGAAAAGGCATTATTTATATAAATTATATTTTAAATTATCACAGCAAAATTATCCAAAAAGCTTGTTTGAACTAAGTAATAAAAAAAAATCGAAATTATCAATGAATAAATAAAGTTTTTCTGATGAAAAAGTTTATTCAATCATTTCTAGATATTGATTTTTTATCTGATGAGGAAATATAAGTCATAAGATATGAAATAAGTTTATAATAGGGAACAGAATGGGTGTACGTTTTGTGTGTATCTTTATGTTGTTATTCATTGAATAAATATAAAATCTCTGCCTACCACTAAAGTCATGTTCATTTGTTTTTGTTTTTATTAAAAATTAACAGAACAAATCAAAAATTTAAATCATCAAAGTTTGTGTAGAATGGAAAAAATTAAATAGTTGTGATATTAAACATTTTTAAAAATATTTTCTTTGTTTAAAATAAGTTACTAATGATATAAACTGAGTAGATCATAATAAAGTCCGATTATTCGTTAATTAGTATTTAACAAGAGGTAACTAGTTTAATTACATCTTATATGTTTAGGCTGTTTTGTTTAGTCTGCCCTGGTACAACCGAGAGTGGAGAGAGTCCTCTCTCCCTCTCCAAACGCTCTCACATGGCCACGCGTATATAGCCTCTGTCAGGGAAGTCCTACCCACTGCCTTCTCGTGCCACAGGTGTTGCTTGCGAAATTGAGAAGACGAAAGGCGAATATTTGGCGCTTTAACCGGGTTGGTGGACACGGTTCGTCCACCTAATGCAGTTGGAAAACCCTGATTTCAAACCGATGGTGCACATGGGTTCCAGTGTCCTGAGGGAACGAATGACGTATGAATCAATCGTTGGTCACCGACTACCATGGGACTGCATCTCCTCACAATGCTCCACTGCCTTGTGGATCAGACGTTTAGGTCAGAGGCTTCGGGTGTGGTCCCCTAAGAAAACCACCTGTTTCGGTCTGGGTACCTGGTCAGTATCACAGCCCTCACAGAAATCAAATGAGAATTGTGAAGCGCATATTTATCTGGTGCTTTCTTGTACCAATATTCATGTGTTTAAATAAATAAATATTAGTTGTCATCATCGTCCATAGAACTAAAATTAGATAATATAGAATGGGTAGCATGTGACTAGTAGTAGAGTTCATGACGTACGTTTCATCCTCTTCATGACTTGTCAACTGGATATACCTGCACTCCGAAGTTGATGTTCACTAAGAGACTTAAACTCACCACTGTTTGCTTCAAACATCATCTCGTTATCCGTTCAGATAGCCACTCACTTGTGTAACGGGTATGAGTTTTAATTCCATTTGGAATAATTTGGATTATTCCTTTGTTAATATTTGGACTGAAATTCGATCATTCCTGATTTTGGTGTGCATGGATCCTGTACTAAGTCTTGTGCATCAAGTCTGGTGCTTTCTTGTACCAATATTTATGTGTTTAAATAAATTAATAAACAGTGATTTTTATGTTATTTTTTCCTTCCGTATGGCAAACCCTTCCTGTAGTATATTGACTACTTTAAATTTGATATTGTGTGCTGTTGCTAATAAATGCAGTGCTATTGCTGATCTATTCTCAGGCTTATCGAAGTCAACCTAACATTGGAAAACATTTTTGAACATTGTTCTCATTTTTTAAACTGTATATCCATCTGCCTAGGTGTTTCTCCCACATATACTACATCGCATTCGTGAAAATTGTTCTCATGGACAAGATCCTGTTTTTCTTGGTTACTTACTTTACTTACTTACTTACGCCTGTTACTCTCAATGGAGCATAGGCCGCCGACCAGCGTTCTCCAACCCACTCTGTCCTGGGCCTTCCATTCTAGTTCTATGTAGTTGTTGTTCATTTTTGTCATATCTGTCTCTGTTTCTCGGCGTAATGTGTTCTTTGTTCTTCCTCTTCTCCTTTGACCTTCAGGATTCCGTGTGAGGGCATGTATTGTGACGCAATTGGGTGATTTCCTCAAAATGTGCCCAATCCACTTCCAGCGCTTCTTCCTTATTTCTCCCTTCGCTGGATGGAATCTGGTTTGTTGTCTCTCACAGTAACTTGTTGCTGATAGTGTCTGGTCATCGGATCCGAAGTATCTTGCGTAGACAGCTGTTAATAAACACTTGTATCTTCTGAATAATGGCTTTCGTAGTTCTCCACGTCTCCGCCCAATACAGAAGAACTGTCTTGACATTTGTATTGAAAATTCTAACCTTGGTGTTGGTTGACAATTGTTTTGAGTTCCAGATGTTCTTCAGTTGTAAATATGCTGTTCTTGCTTTGCTGATCCACGCCCTCACATCTGCATCATATCCACCGTGTTCATCAATGATGCTGCCCAGATATGTAAAGGTTTCCACATCCTACAAGGCTTCTCCGTCAAGTGTAATTTGATTGGTGCATATTGTATTGTATCGGAGAGTCTTGCTTTTCCCTTTGTTTATATTGAGACCTACTGCTGCTGAGGCTGCTGCTACACTGATCGTCTTCTCTTGCATTTGTTGTTGCGTTTGTGATAGAAGAGCCAGATCATCCGCGAAGTTTAAATCGTCAAGCTGCATCCCGACTGTCCACTGTATCCCGTGTATTCCTCCAGATGTTGACGTCTTCATAATCCAGTCGATCACCAGGAGAAAGGGTGAGAGTAAGCAACCTTACCTAACACCTGTCTTTACCTCGAATGAGTCGGTGAGTTGTCCTCCGTTGACGATTTGGCAGTTTAGTCCATCATAGGAGTTCCGTATGATATTGACTATCTTCTCAGGCACGCCGTAGTGTCGAAGAAGCCTCCATGGTTTTGTCCTGTCCACGCTATCAAATGCCTTCTCGTAGTCAATAAAGTTGATGTAGAGTGATGAATTCCATTCGATTGATTGTTCCACAATGATCCGCAGAGTTGCAATTTGATCTGTGCACGATCTATCCTTACGAAATCCAGCTTGTTGTTCTCGAAATTGGGCGTCCACGGAATCCTTCATTTTGTTCAACAATACTGTGTTGAAGACTTTTCTTGGTATTGAGAGAAGAGTGATGCCCCCGTAGTTGTCGCACTTGCTGAGATCGCCATTCTTTGGTATCTTGATCAGAAGTCCTTTTTTCTAGTCTATTGGTACTTGTTCTTCGTCCCAAATCTTACTGAAGAGGATGTGTAGTATCTTGGCAGTTGCTGTTACATTTGCTTTCAGTGCCTCTGCCGGGATGTTGTCTGGTCCCGCTTCTTTGCCGCTCTTGACTTGTCTAATGGCCATGCTGATCTCTTCAATTGTTGGTGGGCCAACATCGATTGGGAGGTCCATGGGTGCTGCTTCGACGTTGGGTGGGTTCAGTGGAGCTGGTCGATTCAAGAGTTCTTTGAAGTGTTCTACCCACCTGTTTCGTTGTTCTTCAATGTCGGTGATTACTTTGCCTTCCTTGCCTTTCACTGGTCTTTCTGGCTTACGGTAATTTCCAGCAAGTTTCTTTGTTGTATCATACAGTTGTTTCATGTTTCCCTCTCTTGCAGCCTTTTCCGCTGTCATTGCTAGATCTTCCACATATTTACGTTTGTCGGTTCTGGTGCTCCTCTTCACTTGCTTGTTTGCCTCTGTGTATTCGGCTTGTGCCTTGGCTTTTTCCGCTCTGGTTCGGCTGATATTGATTGCTGCCTTCTTGTTCCTTCTTTTTTCAATTTTATCCAGTGTACCAACAGTGATCCATTCCTTGTGATGATGCTTCTTTTGGCCCAGAACCTCCTGACATGTTAAAACGATTGCCTCCTTGATACCTTTCCAGTTGCTCTCCATGGTAGTTCCCTCTCCATTGAGTAGATCATGAAAGGCCTGGAACCTGTTGCTGAGGACTATGTTGAATTTGTTGAGTTTTTCAGCATCTCGAAGAAAGCCGTATTAAACTTTTGTGATGTTGTCCGCGCCGTTTTCCAGTGCTTCTTGAGTTTCAGTTTCATCTTGGCGACCAGTAAATGATGATCGGATGCTATATCAGCTCCTCTTCTGGTTCTCACATCCTCCATCGTCCTCCTGAACTTTTTGTTGATGCAGGTATGGTCGATTTGATTCTGTGTAGTGTGATCCGGTGAAATCCAAGTGGCTTTGTGTATGTTTTTGTGTGGAAATATGGTGCCACCTATGACCAGTTTATTGAAGGCACATAGGTTTGCAAATCTCTCACCATTTTCGTTCCTTTCTCCCAGTCCATGTCGTCCCATGACGTCTTCGTATCCAATGTTGTCCTTTCCAACCTTGGCATTGAAATCTTCCATGAGAATGTCAGGTCCTTGGTTGGGCACTTCTCGAAGATTGACTGCAGCCTATCGTAGAATTGGTCTTTAGCGTCTTCATCGTAGTCGTTGGTCGGCGCATAGCATTGGATGATGCTCATTGTAATGCCCTCTCTCTTTGTTTTGAAGGAGGCTTTGATGATCTTTGGTCCATGA